GAACCAGTGGTAAGAAGCTACACCACAATCCACTGCACAGATCAAACCCAACGTTTCCAAACACTACAAAACTACACACACAAAGTTCAACACTGCGTCAGAGTCTTAATTAAAATCTTCTGCATAAATAAACTCAACTTTACAACATATAAAGCATAACCACGATAGAGCCGCATCAGCCCGTTTGATAATATAATGTGTTTAATACAGAAACTAAATTTAAAACCACATGGCTCAGCAGTGTTGGGGAGTAACAGATTACATGTACCAGAGTTACGTAATCAGAGTACAAATTATGAGTAACTGTATTCAGTTACAGTTACTGTTTCAGTGAGTGGTAATTGGATTACAGTTACTTTGTTGAAATAAATAGATTATTATTATATTATATAATATATAAACGGTATATTCCTGTTTTCACATTTTGGTCTATATCCCTTTTTTTGTTTTGTTTTTGTTTGTTTGGTAATTCCACTCATTGCCGGACACTAAACCAGGTTTAAACCAGGTCTAAACCCAGGTCTAAACCTGGCCCAAACCAGTTCTAAACCCAGGTCTAAACCAGGTCTAAAACCAGGTCTAAACTAGGTCTAAGCCAGGACTAAACCAGGTCTAAGCAAGGACTAAACTAGGACTAAACCAGGTCTAAACTAGGACTAAACCAGGACTAAACCAGGTCTAAACTAGGACTAAATCAGGACTAAACCAGGTCTAAACTAGGACTAAACTAGGACTAAACCAGGATGAAACCAGGACTAAACTAGGTCTAAGCCAGGACTAAACCAGGACTAAATCAGGTCTAAACTAACACTAATCCAGGATTTAACAGGTCTAAACCCAGGTCTAAACCCAGGTCCAAACCAGTTCTAAACCAGGTCTAAACCAGGACTAAACCAGGTCTAAACCAGGACTAAGCCAGGTCTAAACCAGGATTTAACAGGACTAAATCATGCTGCGTTGACCATGTCTCCTCCTCTTCTATCAATAATATTTTTAATTTAGTTAAATAAAGTCTGGGCTTTTCATTTTCCTTTAGCAAACAAAACATCTTATGTTACGATATCCTCGTCCTTGCTTCTCTACAGCAAATCAAGTAATCCAAAGTATTCAGATTACGTTACTCACTTTAAGTAATTTAATGGATTACGTTACAAACTACATTTTGGGGTATGTAATCTGTAATCTGTAATCTGTAGGGGAATACATTTTAAAAGACACCTTCTCAATACTGTGGCTCAGTTGCATAACCTATAAACTATAACTCGCTCTTTGTACCGCTGATGTGGTCAGCTTCTGTCAGACTAAAGAGGGATGTGCTGCTGATGGTGAGTCTGTTCTGTGCGTATATTTCTTTGACAAGTCTGACAGCAGCAGATACAGAGAAAGGGGTGATGATTTTTCAATGGAAAGTGAACTGGATCCAGAGTGGATGGACTTTCTATTTGGAACGGGGCGTATATATATATATATATGTATATATATATATATATATATATATATATATATATATATATATATATATATATATAGTTTATGAAAAAAAAAAAAGAAAAAACTGCCTCCCTCTATCCCAGACACTTGATTTTCTGTCATGTTACATTTTCAACAGTAACAAAAATACTTAAAAGTAGTTCTATAAGTATATCAATGGTATAAAACATGTTCCTGATTAGGGCTGAGTATCATTAAGAAGTTGCTGATACAACACATACCTCGATACATTGACCATGATACGATACATGTCTTGATACAGTGAGCTTTCGATTTGATATATTTCAAATCGATTCAATATAAAAGAGTTAACTTCCTCTAAACAAGCAACAAAACTGTAGTGCTGCAATAAAATAATTGAGTAAAATCTACCAAAAAATACTCTTGGTGATATATATCGATACAGCAGCTCACAATATCGATAAAATATCATCACATTTAACGATACTATATATTGATATTTCGATATTTTTGCACACCACTATTCCTGATGGTTTGAAATTAGCTGCAGGCCTTTTAATAATCAGATGCTGTTGACTTGCTGTTCAGATTAAAATATAAAACAAATACAACTTTCTCAGTCTTGGTGCAAACACATTCCTTTTCTCTCTGGTTTAATCTGTTGTTCAGTGGATGGAGTGAAGAGAGGAGGAATGCTGCTTCATTTGTTATGAGATTATGGTTGTTGTTTTATTGTATTATAAATCTCCTGTTTGCTCTGGTGCTGTGTGTGCGTATCAAGCTCCTAATGAATAAATAAAGTGATTCTGATATTACGAAAAACAGATTTAGAACATTATGCCCAGGGCTGTAATTTGTTTCATTTTCACATGAGTAATCTTGCTTATTTAGTCTGTCTAAATAATAAATGGTTCAAAAATAATGCAAAGTGTAGATGAAAGAGAAAATACCTACAAATCCTGCCAACAATACTGTCCATGGCATTCAGAAAGATGAAAAGGAAAATCAGTTGCCATAGAAATTGACAATTTAAATTAAAATATTATATTTGCGGCATGGGAAAAAGTCCTAGTTCGAGTACTAGTCACCTGAAAAAGCACTGATTTTGTGAATGCTAGTGATTTGTTTTTTCTATAGGTTTACCGGGTATACTATGCAAAACATAAACAAACACACACAGATTAAATTACAATGCACACATAAGCAAACACTAGGGTTTGGTCAAGTGGTAACGGAGGGAAACGGGCAGATTTTTTACATTACAATAGCTCTTATTCAGAAACTAGAGGGACTATTGAAATAAGTAAAGTATCAGAATGTAGGAAAGAGTTACACTCCAACAGGGTCAAGTTAAACCTGTGATATTCTTTCAAGTTGCTGACAAAAAATTAAAAAACTCATGTCGGTAACGGAGGGAATGAAATATGCAGCACTTTTTGGGCAATAAATACAAACAGTGATAACTAGTGGTTCTCACTTACATATCCTTTTATTGATAAAGGTCATGGTAACGGAGGGAAAAGTAACGGAGGGAAACTTGTGCAAGCAAGTAAAAGGTGCATGATTTTGCATAATTTGTTGCTTTTTTCTTCTGAATACTTTAATATTACTTCAAAATGAAAGGTAACTATTTCTATAAAATATGTCAGTCCTTCCAAGCTAATTTTTATCATTTTAAATACATAAAAAAAAAAAAAAAATCATGTACCTTCATCAACAGTTCAAAGATGGAATAACACAAGATATGATGAAATACATCCATTTATTTACATGATTTGCAGGTCTTTGAAATTTGGGAAATAATTTTTGTTCCATGTTTCATACATGGTCTGTTTAAAACGTATGTAACTTTAGAACCAAAAATGGTACAGAAAAAAGATAAACAGTTTCATAAACTAGAGTACATATGTATCTGTTCAATACATTTTTATATCAGATGCATTAACTTGAATTTTTGGCCTTGTTGTTTACTTCTGCTTGACCGGGCCCAATATCAAAAAAGTCAAAAAATATATATATAAAATGGAAAAAGTGTTCAAGGTCCCATTTACATGTTTGATTTTCAACATTTATGGTGAGACAGAACACAAAGTTCTGACTAAATCAGTTATTTCTGGTCAGATTTGGTTGAAATAATCAGATAATCCGTTAAGATTAAAGTCTAACAAAGCCTCAAACAGAGCAGTGCCTACAGTTAGCGTCACGCCCCAGAGAATGTGGACAGCATCAGTAGGGTGACCAGACGTCTCTATTTACTGTCCCCGTTTTGAGTCCCGTGTCCTCTGTGCCAGCGGATTTATCCAAAACCATTAATTTGTCCCAAGAAATGTCCTAGGGGTCCCTGTTATTGACCAATCTGATCCCTGCCAACGGTAAAGAGATTTGTTTAGGTAAAGTACAGAAAAGCTGCATAAAATGGACAAAAACACAAAGAAAATATACTATACTGACTATGGCTGGGTATCATTAAGAAGTTGCTGATACGATACATATCTCAATACAGTGAGCTTTCGATTTGATACGATATATTTCAAACCGATTCGATACAGTTCAATAAAAATAAAGCCTAACACGTCTGTCTTTGTTAAACAACTTCTTGTGCAAAGTGAATATGAAACACACCCATTTTAATCATCCAAACTGTGAAAATGTCAAATGTGTTTCATAAAAACTGCAAACAAGCAACGATACTGTAACAAAATAATTGAGTAAAATATACCAAAAAATACTAGCGATATGTCGATACAGCAGCTCACGATATCAATACCAAATCATCATATTAAATGATACAATATACTGTATTTTTCAGACTATAAGTCACACTTTTTTCATGGTTTGGGTGTTTCCTGTGACTTATACTCCAGTGCGACTTACATATTAACATTTTCACACTGACAGATGCAAGAGGTTCTAGTCTTGTGTGTCAGTATCTGCTGCTCCTGTTCCTCCTGTACCACTGTCACTTCACTCTACTGCACATGTCTCCTGCAGAAAGAGCCTCTGTTCTGTCTGTATCATGCCAGTCGCCAGTCGATCGCACCATTACTTTTGCAACACTGAAAATTTAACATTTAAACAAAATTATAAAGACGACTGAGAAAACTGAAACAAATGCCCACAAAAAGAAAATCATATTTTGCAGATTACAAGCTGCAAAAAGCGAAATCTGCAGACAAAAATCGAGCAGCAGAAAGGAAGTTTGGAGTGAGCGACAAAAACTTGTGACACCAGGAGGATGCACCATACAACTTTCCTGAAGTCACTGGATGGATGGACAAAGCCTGGACTTCAGTGACACCAAAACCATCCTGTTGGGATTCAGTAAGGCCAGAATAATTCTAACTGGAACTGATGCTGAGTCTGACGACAGCTACACTGAAGAGGAAGCGGCGCTCTGTTTACCTCTGGAGGTCGTGGAGTTGCTAAGAAGTGACACAGAGGATGAAGAATTGAATGGATTTAGTGATTTGGAGTGAGATGGAGAGTTATCTGGGGGAAAAAAAACAAAAAACTGTTGTGTGATTGGTGCAGTGCCTGTGTGCACTCACCCGTGTCACCCCCACGTTGAGCTCATCTGGCCCCAGAGACACTCGGATGAAACAGCCGGGGAAGTCCCCCTCCTCCCGCTCCAGCAGGTCTTTGCCCTGGTGCAGCTGGATGTGCAGGAAGCCCACACTCTGCCCCACCTGCCTGCTCGCCTCGTACTCCAGCGTCACCTGAGGATTTACAGAAACATACAATGACACATACTGATTTAAATGTTAAAGGTTCTTATGACACTAAATATTCTTGTGAGCTTTAAGCCATGTTATGTTTGTTTCATTCACACATTTGAGTGACCCCCTTTATTATTAGTCTGTCTACATGTCCAAAGCTCCAAATGCTTTTTTTTTTTACCTTTAATTGAGTAGACATGGTTTATTCCAGGGTTAAAATTAGCCACATGTTTCTACTGAAGCTGTATGAAATCTGAAAACACAGTGGACAGTGTTGGGGAGTAACGGATTACATGTACTGGAGTTACGTAATCAGAGTACAAATTATGAGTAACTGTATTCAGTTACAGTTACTGTTTCAATGAGTGGTAATTGGATTACAGTTACTTTGTTGAAATAAATGGATTACATGGTGGTATTTTCCTGTTTCACATTATTTTTTATGTTTTTTTATTATTATTATTATTTTATTTTTTTTTTGGTAATTCCACTCATTGCTGGAAACTAAACCAGGTCTAAACCACAACCAAACCAGGACTCAACCCAGGTCTAAACTAGATCTAAACCAGGACTAAAACAGGATTTAACAGAATTTAACAGGACTAAACCATGCTGCGTGGACGTGTCTCCTCCTCTTCTATCAATAATATTTTTAATACAGTTAAGTATCCTCGTCTTTGCTTCTCTACAGCAAATCAAGTAATCCAAAGTATTCAGATTACGTTACTCACTTTAAGTAATTTAATGGATTATGTTACAAACTACATTTTGGGGTATGTAATCTGTAATCTGTAGGGGAATACATTTCAAAAGTCACCTTCCCAACACTGACAGTGGAGCACATTACCACATATTACCACATGACATCACAAGTGTTAGAGCTTAAATATGCTGGATGTATGTGTAAACATGTATGAATGAAACCAAACACAGCTCCAGGTCTGTTTTTGATGAGGAAACATTAAAATATAGATCATAAGAAGCGTGTAAAATACGGACGCTGGATGACAGGTCAGAATTCTGTGCTGGTTTATGGTTATGGTCTGTAATTACTGGGCCTATCCACGTGAAACAACACAGGTCTTCTCCGTCAGAACAAATGAACAAAAAGGAAATATAGTTTTCACGATAGCTTCAGAAAGCGGTGACATTATTTAATCTCATAGTAGTGACTTTAATCAGAGGTAAGACTCCACTAGAAAAAGTTAGGCCTACACAGAGAACCTTTAAAGGAACAGTATGTAAACTTTTGATTTTAAATGTCATAAACCTGGCTTATCTTTATCTACATTTGTGAGTTAAAAGTGTTCAATAAAATTTTACTGATAACAATTCTAATGCTGACTTATTCTTAAGCCCTATTCGCACGGGATTAGTATAACCTGTGGACCTTTGGTGAATTGTAATAATCGCGGAGGATTCCTGAGATTTTAATCCTGTGCAAATGCGCCATGTCTGTAATTTGTAAAGTAAAAATTACACCGCAAATGACCTACTATATTTCACCAAACACAGACGTCTGGTTATAATTGGGTCTGGTCAAGTGGTAACGGAGGGAAACAGGGGCAGATTTTTTACATTCAAATGTCTCTTATTCAGAAACTAGAGGGACTATTGAAATAAGTAAAGTATCAGAATGTAGGAAAGAGTTACACTCCAACAGGGTCAAGTTAAACCTGTGAAATTCTTTCAAGTTGTTGACAAAAAATTTAAAAACTCATGTTGGTAACGGAGGGAATGAAATATGCAGCACTTTTTGGGCAATAAATACAAACAGTGATAACTCTTGGTTCTCACTTACATATCCTTAACAAACTGGTTTGAATATTTGCTTCATATAGTTTTCTACCATATGGTACAAGATTAGGTTGAAAAACCTCTTACTTTTTGACTCATGAGATTTTTTATTGATAAAGGTCATGGTAACGGAGGGAAAAGTAACAGAGGGAAAATTGTGCAAACAAGTAGAAGGTGCAGGATTTTGTATAATTTGTCAGCTTTTTCTTCCAAATACTTTAATATTACTTCAAAATGAAAGGAAACTATTTCTATAAAATATGTCAGTCCTTCCAAGCAAATTTTTATCATTTTAAATACATAAAAAAAAAAAAATCATGTACCTTCATCAACAGTTCAAAGATGGAATAACACAAGATATGATGAAATACATCCATTTATTTACATGATTTGCAGGTCTTTAAAATCTGGGAAATAATTTTTGTTCCATGTTTCATACATGGTCTGTTTAAAACGTATGGAACTTTAGAACCAAAAATGGTACAGAAAAAAGGTCAACAGTTTCATAAACTAGAGTACATATGTATCTGTTCAATACATTTTTATATCAGATGCATTAACTTGAATTTTTGGCCTTGTTGTTTACTTCTGCTTGACCGGGCCCAATACTAGTCCCGTGTGAATCTACATCTCAGTATTTGTTGTGGTAATTGTGCTTTTTCTATCTCTTTCCGGCTTGAATATGGAGGCTGCAGTAGAAATTTTGATTAGCAGTTTTGAGTTTTTTAGGGGCAAATTCTAATACGGCCCCGTACCACACTATATGTAAACTGCTCTGCAGAAACGGGAAGAGGTCCAAGAAGAGAGCCAATTCTTGCAGGATGATGGCCTGGGTGACATGTGGAGCAGCAAGCGGTAAGGAACATTTGAAATAATATAACTAGCGAATAATGCCTGCTAGATTGCTACTGAGAACCGGGGGAGGGGAGCGATCTGTGCAACTCAGCCTGCTAGATCGATACTGATTTAGTCCTGGTTAAGTCCTGGTTTAGTCTCGATTCAGTTCTATTTCAGTCCTGAATTAGTCCTGATCCAGTCCTATTCCATTTGCCTTTATACTAACTGCCCTTCCTATTTTTATAGTTGATGTTACGTCATATCCGGTCGTAATATCAGTAAAGCAGAGTAATTTACAGACTTCGCTTATCCCGTGCGAATGCACTGCAAGTAACACAGACGTGGGGCAGTAATTTACAAATTACCACACGTCCCCAGGTTGTACATATCCCGTGCAAATAGGGATTTAGTTACAAAATTGATGTCCCATGTATTTAGAATAATTTGGTGTTTTGTTTCTCAAGAGGATAATCCAGTCAGAAAGCAGAATGAGCCTCACGTGAATCTCATTTGTGTTTCCAGTTTCATTACGGAAATTCAATTGGTTTAAGCTTAAAAGGACTCTCTCTGGATATCAGTGCTGATATGAAAAATATGCTGCATCGGCTATCAGCTTACAAGTATCAATCCAACCAATATCGTGGTTGGACAGATAAATTAATGGAATATAAGTCTATTTCCTGGTTGTAGCTCAGAAAGTCTCAGGATGTTTGTAGCTGTAGTTACTTGAGAGATAAATAACAGCAGCATAACACATTTGAGTCAGTTTTATCTTATTTTAGTTTAGTTTAAAAGGAAATAAATGCTGTTTTCAGTCTCTGCACTGGTATCGGATGATATCAGGTATCGCCAAATACTTAAACAGGGTATCCCTAGTTTTGACTACACCTAATTTAAGACTTTTTAAAGGCCTTTTTAAGACCACTTACATGAAAATTAAGACCAATATCGAACTCATTATGCGGGTGAAAAACACCAGATCCAAAGCCACTCTGGATTAAACCTACACTTCCCCATGATCCATCCAACGTCGTCCTCCACTCTACTGACTGACTGATTGAAACTTGAAACAAATTAGACGTTTATTCCCGTTATTTGATTTCACGTTGTTTTTTTTCCTTCCCTCCATTTAACATCGCATTGCATCCCGGGTGAGTAGACAAAGAAACAGACTAATGAAATTTAAGACATTTGTGAAAAAAATAAGACTTGGACAACATAATTTAAGACTTTTTTAGGACTTAATTTAAGAACATGAAATTTAAGACCTTTTTAAGACTTTTAAAACCCCGCAGTTACCCTGTTAAAGCTATAGAATTGAAATCAGTATTGGAATTGAAAAAGCTGGATCAGCGCATCCCTAGTGACTACCTAAACCCCAACCTGAGTCAGTGCTAGTGCAGACTCTGCAGCTCAGGGAATGAATTCTGGAGGTTCTGAGCTTCACATGAGGCCTGGTCTGTCCTGAGTACTGAGAACGAGAAAGGCTAATCCAGTTTGAATTCCCTTAACAGCTAGAACTGGAGCGTACAAGAAAAAAGGAACACCTCCCCCACTATTGCAAATGAAAGGTGCATAAATACTGAGCCTAGACAATACTGATCATCATTAAGTCAATACAGTAATTCTAGTGATAAGTCCCACGTACCTCGAGCTGGCCCACAGTGAAGTCGTGTCCGAAGTTGTTGGCGATGGAGGAGATGGAGCTGAGAGAGTCTGTGGATATGGAGCGGTTGAGCGGGTTGAGTCCGGAGGGGTCCATCAGCTCCAGGTGCCCCAGGTCCCTGAGGCCGTCCGGGGTGTCCCCCAGAGCCAGGCTGGGCTTCCGGCTGGACGTGGTGGAGGTGCGGCGGTGGTTGTTAGCTGCCACTCTCTGACACAAACGTACAGTACACATGACTGACTGTTGTAATGTGAACGGACTCAAGTGCAGTAGTGATGGGCACATGGAAGAGTATTGATCCTTAGGCAAAAATATCTATCAATCTAATTTCTGGGCTGTCAAGAAAAAGCAGTCATTCTAATTAGGGGTTGGTCATATGGGGAAATATTTGTACTCCCAGGTAAATTAGTTCTTCATGGTCAGATTGTGCTGTGGTGTTCATGTTCTGAGACACTCAAATCATGTTCTGATGCATCCAAACCATGTCCTGATGTACTCTAACATTTTTTAAATGGACACAAACCATGTTCTGGTGCACCCAAACCATGTTCTGATGCACTCAAACATGTTCTGATGTGCCCAGACATGCTCTGATGTGCCCAAATCATGTTCTGGTGCACCCAAACCATGTTGTGGTGCACCCAAACCACGTTCTGATGCACCCAAAGCACGTTCTGATGCACCCAAAGCACGTTCTGATGCACCCAAAGCACGTTCTGATGCACCCAAACCACGTTCTGGTGCACCCAAACCACGTTCTGGTGCACCCAAACCACGTTCTGGTGCACCCAAACCACGTTCTGGTGCACCCAAACCACGTTCTGGTGCACCCAAACATGTTCTGGGCCCCAAAACCATGTTCTAATGCACCCAAACCACGTTCTGATGCACCCAAACCATGTCCTAGTGCACCCAAACCATGTTCTGATGCAACAAACCACATTCTGGTGCACCCAAACATATTCTGGGCCCCAAAACCATGTTCTGATGCACCAAAACCATGTTCTGGTGCAACCAAACCATGTTCTGGTGCCCCCAAACCATGTTCTGATGCACTCAAACCATGTTCTCTGCTATGTTCTATGTTACAGACAGAGACATATATGACTGTGTGTGTGTGGGGTCAGTACCTTCTGTCGGACTTCAGAGAAAGAGGTTCCATACTTCTCCTGCAGATAGCGATAGTCAAAGTTTGGAAAAGGAGACGGAGCGGGAAAGGTCCCAGACTTCCAGAGCTTCCAGATGTTGAGTCCTGCCGCTCCCAACAGCACCAGGAACCCGACCAGATACAGAGCCACCTCCCAGCCCGCAGGGTCCCGCACCACTGCACACACACAACACACACAATCACAAATACAGTAGACTATCAGCGGTTTTCAGGTTCTAGAATGTGATAATGTCATACTCCCTGATGCGGGTAAGAGCAGGGAACAAGCTCCTAAAATTTTGCCCAGTGTGACTAAATGTTTCGCACCTTCGCACCTGACAGATTCACACAGATGAAATAATATAACGTATTTAAATTATAATTTTAGTTGACAACTAAGTAGAAAAAAGTGAATTCACTTACTCTGCCCTCATCTCAACACAGATCGCTAAAGACAGTCTGAGCTGAGGCCGATGGCTTAGATAAGCAATGAGTTCTAGGTGCAGCCAAACCATGTTCTGATGCACCCAAACTATCTTCTTGTGCAACCGACAGAAAATGTTAGGCGCACCAATGCTCCCAACTCAATCATTAATCTGGAGCCCTGGGCAAGAGACAGATTTCCCAAGGCATTTTGTCATGAAATATCTAAAAGGTAAACTCACAAATGTCAAACCTGATCATTTCTATCCCAGAACTCAGTGTATAACAACAGTAACACCCCCTTCCCCATCTGTATTAAATATTACTGGCAGACAGTGGCAGAGCGTGCGTTTCACACCTAGGTCTTCAATAGTGCGCCGTCTGAAACAGTCCACTCCTCAGTAACCATTTTATGGTTAAAAAAGCATCTTATTACACAGAAACACAGTATAAAAAGCCGTGAAGATTCCGTGCACAGAGAAGTGAGGAGAGGGGGGGCGCGCGGTGCACAGAGAAGAAGTGAGGAGCGCTGGGGTGCTAAACCAGGACTAAACTAGAACTAAACCAGGACTATTTGTCGGGACAGGTCTGAAAGTGCACACGCATAGACTGTCAGGTGACTGCAGATGAAAGGACTGTCACGCATGGGGCCGCACAGGGCCGCACAGGGCCGCACTGGGCTCCACGCTGCACGGGGCTCATTACAGCTGTCGTCCGATCTCGCTTTGGGGACACCCTGCTTCACGGGCTCGGGGTTCTCTCTCTCTCTCTCTCTCTCGATCGCTCCAAGATTAGTCCTGGTTTAGTCCTGATTTAGTCCTGATTTAGTCCTGGTTTAGACCTGGTTTAGTCCTGGTTTAGACCTGGTTTAGTCCTGGTGTAGTCCTGGTTTAGTTCTGATTTAGTCCTGGTTTAGACCTGGTTTAGTCCTGGTTTAGACCTGGTTTAGTCCTGGTGTAGTCCTGGTTTAGTCCTGGTTTAGTCCTGGTGTAGTCCTAGCTTAGACCCGGTTTAGTCCTGGTGTAGTCCTGGTTTAGACCTGGTTTAGTCCTGGTTTAGACCTGGTTTAGTCCTGGTGTAGTCCTGGTTTAGTCCTGGTTTAGTCCTGGTTTAGTCCTGGTTTAGTCCCGGTTTAGTCCTGGTGTAGTCCTAGTTTAGACCCGGTTTAGTCCTGGTGTAGTCCTGGTGTAGTCCTAGTTTAGACCCGGTTTAGTCCTGGTGTAGTCCTGTAGTCCTGTTTAGTCCGGTTTAGTCCGGTGTTAGTCCTGGTGTAGTCCTAGTTAGACCCGGTTTAGTCCTGGTGTTAGTCCTGGTTTAGACCTGGTTTAGTCCTGGTTTAGTCCTGGTGTAGTCCTGGTGTAGTCCTGGTTTAGCCCGGTTTAGTCCTGGTGTAGTCCTGGTTTAGACCTGGTTTAGTCCTGGTTTAGTCCTGGTGTAGTCCTGGTGTAGTCCTAGTTTAGTCCCGGTTTAGTCCTGGTGTAGTCCTGGTTTAGACCTGGTTTAGTCCCGGTTTAGTCCTGGTGTAGTCCTGGTGTAGTCCTGGTGTAGTCCTAGTTTAGACCCGGTTTAGTCCTGGTGTAGTCCTGGTTTAGACCCGGTTTAGTCCTGGTTTAGTCCTGTTTAGTTTAGTCCTGGTGTAGTCCTGGTTTAGACCTGGTTTAGTCCTGGTTCCACTACAGATGCAGTTTGCTGCTTTGGCTGGTTCACTCTGTGACTGTCCAATCAACGACCATTTGGAATTACTTAATAATAATATAATTAACATCAGTCTGTGATTCAGATATTTTTTAGGCCAGCAGAGAAGGACTTGCAGGCCCTGATAGACCACCACTGCCGGCACATGATACTTAGGTAATATGAAATGTCTTGATTGAGGATTAAGTATTAGATCATTGTGACATTAATGTGAAATTAACCAATCCATTTTACTTTTAAAGAGTTCTTTTTGCAGCATTTTATTAATATAAACCATCCACTTGATATGGTTGGTATATCTTCAAAACAACCTCCACAATATCATCAAGATTTCAATAATCAGATCATTAAAAAGTACAGTTTGGTATTTGGTTTACTATTTGATTTGCTATTTAGTAGTGTTGTATAAAAATATTTGATCTCATGAATGTCATAGTTAACTCATCATTTGAATACTCTTATCAACATAGAAAAGTGGATAGGCTTGCTTTGTGTAAATGTTTTGGGGTTTTTTTGTTTGCGATTGTGTTTGTCTGCCTCAACACTGCTGTACTCAGAACGATGACGTCATCACACGGCGCTGTTGCATGTCGTGCAGCAGACTTAACATTTTTAGAGGAGAAAATAAGTCCAGCAACAAAAGTATCTATTAAACCATTGTTTCCCAAAGACCAGATAGTGGCCCTCAGGTGGGTTGCAATAGATTTTTTTGGGGTCGCCTTGTCATGATCTTCATGTAGCTCTGCAATATACACATACAGTACACATACATCCTCACTTTTTCGGCAGCACAGCCTTGCCTATCCAGTTTTCTGTGGGAAACACTGAGTACTGTATTTCATTGTTTAAAACTAGTTCTAATTGTTCAGAGACACAATCACTCAGTCAACAATAAAATATCCTCATTAATGTTCAATAATGGTTACAAATGTATTTTGTGATTTACGAATGATGTCCATTGACTTGGGTCGTGAAGATTTGTGACTTTTAAAATATGTGTCTCCAGAAAAAAAGGTTGGGAAACAGTGTATTAAACATTGAGACAGACATGAGTCCTGCTGCGATACGGACGCCATGAGTTTATGAGATAAAAACAGCTCGGAGCAGTGAGAACAGTCGGTAGAGAGCCTGCAAAACTTCTCTCTCTGTCACAGGCCTTGATGAAGGTCAGTGCGGATTAGAAATATGTTTTGGAGCGGGGTCTATTTCGTGTTTTCCTCGTGTGAGTAACATCAGCGAACCTGACAGGGCTTCTCAGTTTTGTACAAATTGTTTTGCTTCCTGTTTACAGCTGGAGTTTTTCTAAACAGTGGCCAGAGCTTATGAAAATAGTTCGCGATAAAAAAAAAAAAAAAAAAGAACTCAAAATTATTTTGCGTTAAATTGTTAATAATGCAATATTTTTGACAGAACTACTATTTAGGATTCATTTCACAGTGAGCATTAACATATTGGTGTTTTTCAGATTCTAGGATGTGATGAGGTCAAAAGGTCCAGACGGGGGCAGGAGACAGAGTTTCATATTGATGACATTGTACTTTACCATGAAATATCCACAAGGTAAATTCAGAAATGTTGAAACTGATCATTTCTATTACCGACTGAACTCAAGAACTAACCATATTGCCACAGAAATCTGAATTTTAACACTATCAATTTTAGTTTTATTCTCTGTATTAAATATTATTCACCTATAGAAGGTTGTGATGTCATCTGAAAACCAGCTGTCCAATAAATTAACACAAAATTACAATAGACTGGTTTCTATTCAGTACAGTTGCAGAAAAATTCCTTTTTATGGTGTACGTCACATGGTCGTTTCTGCACAATGAGGAGGCGACGTCGTGCAGATAAATCTCGTGTATGGAGCGCGCTGACGGTTTTATGTCACTTTTATCATGTAAACGAGGAAGCAATCATAGAGCTGCTCCAGAGGGACTCCACTGTGCTCTGCAGCCCACAACACTCACACTACTCAAACATTTTAGAATATTATACAAAATTGTGATTGTGATTAAATTTGAGGTTTTAAAATTAAGATTCTGATAAGAGTTTACTGTCCTTCTCCATGGAAATTGCTATTGTTATTGCTTTGTCTTGAATGTTCCACAATATAGATTAAACCTACGTGTCACAAACCAGTTTGTTTTTTTTTTTGTTAATAATCATACACACACTACACTACTTTAAATCTGTATGACCAATATAAAATTTTAACTGAGCTTTAACTGTTGCATTTACATTGACGGGTTGCTAGCTTAGCTAAAATAACACATTTGGAGCAGTAAATTATTGTAACTTAACTTTGTGAAAGAATTATTCATTTATGCATTTTTCCGGCTTCATTGTTTATAGAATTAAAATGACCAATTAAAGAAAGTAAAGTTTTTGTTTGTCTGATGTGACGGGCATCTTGAGGCGACATCCGTTGCTGTTGCTCAGCTAATTATGAATTATTCATTATTACTTAATCATTGCATTTATATAGTGGTGGTGGTAACCTACAACTGTAGCCACAGCTGCCCTGGGACAGACTGACGGAAGCGAGGCTGCTCATCTGTGCCAATGGTCCCTCCAACCACCACCATCACTCACACACACACCACTTTCATACTAGGCAATGTGGATGAAGTGCCTTGCCTAAAAACACAAAGACAGTTTTTGCCACTGGCGCCCCCCTGTGGCACCTGATTTTCCCAGCAGTCACCCATCCGAGTTCTGACCAGGTCTGGCTCTGCTGAGCTTCTGAGATCTGACGGGATCAGGCTTTGACAAGCCTATGTGACTCCAGTTCACATGTGACCGGGCTTTAAGTGGCGTCTGTGTTTCCCGGTCCATATACAGCTCCATTAAACTAGTGGTGGTGACCCAGTGCTGATGTTCTAGTGTCATGTGACCCAGTGTTCTAGAACCACGGGGTCACATGACACTAGAACATCAGCACCATCACCGTGGTGACACAGAACACAGGGCTCTGTGACAACACAGGTCAGGTACTATAAGCCTGATCTGACTAGTTCAGTCATTTCCTCAAACTCTGTGTTAACTCCGTCTCTCTCCTCACGAGCGAACACAGCGATCTCTCTAAACCCACATCAACCATCTCCAGTCTACTTCAACAGTACACGAGACACTACTCTTGTCATGGCTCGAGGACACCCTGTCCCCCACATGTTGGGAGAGTACCTGGTCCTGGATAAACTGGGATCTGGGGCTTTTGGCTCAGTCGTCAGATGCAGTAAGGCTCCAAACTTACATATTGTGGCTGTTAAATATCTAAGGAACTCGAGAGACAGCTTAGAGAAAGAAGCCAGGATCTTGAAGGACTTGAGCCTGAGAAATCCTGATCAGATAAACATAGTGAAGATGATTGAATTCTTCACAGATCGGACGTACCAGTGTTTGGTGTTTGAAACACTAGACGGGAGTCTGTGGGACTTGATGAGGCGGCGTAGAGGCCTCTCTCTCTCTGAATGAGCTCCGGCTGGTCACCCAGCAGCTCCTGGTGGCTCTGGAGGCCCTGGGCAGAGCTGGGATCGTACACTGTGACCTAAAGCCAGACAATGTGATGCTGGTCAACCAAAAGGACCGGCCTTTTAAAGTCAAGCACATTGATTTTGGTTGTGCTTGTTACACCTCCGATCTGGACTTCACAGAGGTCTTCCAACTGTTAGAGTACAGAGCTCCAGAGGCCAGTCTGGGCTGCCCACTGTCTGAGGCCTTGGACATGTGGTCTCTGGTCTGTACTCTGGGGGAGTGTATCCTTGGTCAAGTTCTTTTCCAAGGTGGCTCATACTACAACAACCTGAGATCCATCTTCAACCTGCTGGGACATCCCAGCCCACAACTGCTGAGGAGAGGAATGTCACCCCCCATTACTTCATCCCAACAAACAGCTGTAACCAGTGGAGGTTTAAGACCATAGACGAGTACCTGTGCACAGGAGGGGCGGAGCCGGAGCACTCTCCTGATCCACCAGGACATGTTCAGAATTTAGAGAGCGCTTTTATGAGGGGGCCTTCTCCCAGGCAGTATCCAGAACACAGAGATAGAAAGGCCTTTGTGGACCTCCTCAAGAGACTCCTGCAGCCAGACCCTGACTTTAGGATCAGCCCCATAGAGGCGCTCACACACGACTTCTGTAACAATGGAGCATCTGGAGGTGGAGGACAGCCAGTCCAGTGAGATGGCACACGTCACCATGACTATTGCTCTGCAGGAGCTCACTGTGCCTCAGGTGAGCTCTCTGAACTGCCCTGACCTGCAGCTCAACCCTGGCTCCTCTCTGATCTGTGGAAGAGACACAGACCTCAGACATAACCACAGGGAAGTAACTTCACCACTGCCTGCCGCTCCAGCCCCCCGTGGGGACGTCATCATTGATATAGATCCAGTCTGCAATGGGCCCATTCAAATAAGTGACGCCCAAAGACCAGAGAGCTCAGACAGAACCCCCCAGAGCCTCTGATAAACCACGAGAATATCCAGCCTGCTCCACCTGTCCTCAGCATTAACATGGACTTTATGAACCCAGAGCCAACACATGAAGAAGCCCATGCAGATACACATGTGTCCATCAACATTCCTGAGGACACCACACCTGAGGACGCCCCCTCACATACCCCCCCGATCACTCTGCAGGTCCAGGAGAGAGATCAGACCCTGCGCCCTCTGGTGGCTCTGGTTGGAGCCCGGTTAGCAGGACAGGGCCTACTCTGCTACAGCCTGACCGGGTCTCCATTGGCCACAGCAGCTGCAGTCGCACCCATGTTCCTTTGGGGCTGTGCTGGTATGTTTTTCTCAAAGAAAAAGTCACCAATGTAAGGTCGACAATAGGTATGGAGTACGAAAGCACAGCAACATTAGCAGCAATTTAAAATAAATAAATAAAGTTTAAAAAACAACCTTTAATGTCTTAAGACTTATTAATTGTTCTTTTATTAACATTTGTATCATTACGTCTGTGTGTCTGTACTCAACTCCCCCATGTTGAGTAAAACTTGTTTCACCGCAGTACAGATATACTCAGGAATAACTTTGGAACATTAAAAATGAACTGGTTCTGTTTTTCATGTTCTTAAGACGTAAGAATCAGGTACAGTGCCTTTAATAGACAGATTACACAGTTGCACGATAAAAGTATATTACAGAGTGAGACCGTGCATGAATATTAGACAAAAATACTACTTAAAGTTAAATGTGGCTAAAAACAATACGTACTAAAACAGACGTTGTGAGACGAGCTGAGAAGTGAATGATAAGAAAGACAGCAGGGGAGGTTTTAGATAAAGTGACAGAATAATGTTTCATAATCAAAATGTAGGATCTGATCTGGATTTTGGTGAGTCTGTGCTCATGTGAGGTTGACAGACGTCTCCACAGGTAAGGCGCTTTCACACTTGTGTTTACGTTTAGTGTGAGTTTTAGGATTTCCCTGTTTGGAGTCCTGTGTAATGTGAACTTCAAACGTCTGACTTCTCCTGGACTTTGGACCAAATCCAGGAAGTGACACATGTTCACATGTTCTTCCCGTGCCTGTGGAGGGTTCCCCCACCTCTGGAGGGCCAGGACTCTCCTTAAAAAGACCTTCTTAATCTGATCGGGACTGTTCTGGTTAGATACATGTGAATATAGTTTGGAACAGGAACAATATCAGAGGCTATATGTCATTTCATAAGAAATGTGCTTAAAGTCTCTTTAAAACTATTGGCAGTGGAGGTTTAAGTCTCAGACTATGGAGTTTAAAGCTTTCAGAAATATTTGTGTGCATAGGATAGAAATCTGTGCTTATTTGTCTGTAGTTGAACATAAAATAAATATATGTAAACTCTCGAATGAGTCCAGTCAAACATAAAATGTATTGTGAACTGTTCAACATACAGTTTTCCCATGATCATTTTTAATCAGCTCTTTTTGCAACATTTTTTTAAATTTAGCACAGAGGTTTCAAACTCAAATTCACAGAGGGCTGAGTTAATTGCTATAGAATTCAGGATCATGACTGGACAGGATTGATTTCCAATCTACTGATGATAACACTTCTGCCACATTTTGTCGCTGGTTCCTCGGGTATGAATTCATTTATTGACCTGCTATTACCTGGATTAGTAACATCATTAGTGATCCTTGACCTGATGAGTTTTCTAGAAAATAATATAAAATTGTGGTCTGAAATACCAGTGAGAAAGTTATATGATCTTATTATCTGTTCAGGCTTGTTGCCTGTCTCTGTAGCAGGGCTGGTGCCACCTAGTGCCTCCACTCAGTTGCATTTCTCTCCAGCAACTAGGTCAGGATTCGGAATACACCAAACAGTTTGCAAGAACCCCGGAAGTGCGAGTTTGGGCACCAACCAATCAGCGAAAAGACAGACATTCTGTGTTGGCAACAATTCCCAAGATCGAGGTTTTAAAGCCGGAACAAAGAGAATGTTTGGTGAATTTCATCAAGGGGAAAGACGTTATTGTCCTTCTTCCTACGGGATTTGAGAAAAGCTTAATATAACAGTTAGCCCCATTAACGGGCTACATATGTCACGACCAAATAGTGATTGGTTAAATAAAAAAAGTACCCGCCTGCCGTTGAGTGAACAAATCCTAACGCTGCAAGGTCGGACGGTTTCTACAAAGTGAAACTGACTGATGAATCAGGCTCATGTCTCTGGGCTGGCCTGGGAACTCCTTGGGTCCCCCCAGAGAAGCTGGAGGAAGTGTCCGTGGGGAGAAGGAAGTCTGGGATTCCCTGCTCAGACTGCTGCCCCCACGACCCGGCCCCGGATAAGAGCAAGAAAGTGGGTGGATACTACTTTGCATTATGTTGTATGTAGTAATTGCTGCTTTTGTAATTTGTGAACTGGGAGCGCTCAAGTTGGTGCTCAAGTTTTTTTTATTTTTCTCATTTTCTGTAGGACACTCATGAAGACAATAGCATAGAAGCAGAAGGTGTGTTCACAGTTGCCCAATCACCCCAACATTACAAGAACTAAACTGGGACTAAACCAGGACTAATCCAGGACCAACCCAAGTCTACATGTTCCTAAACTAGGCTCAGACCAGGACTGAATCAGGACAAACATGAGCACACCCAGAATCTCCTCCGCACTAGTCTGAAGGACGTTTTAACTCCATCCAACGGTGATTTTAAACAGAGCTGTCAATCGTTTAGATCTGAAGGAAAACGACTCGATGAAGTGAAAATGGAGTTACCGCTCAGATGGTAGCCGGGGAGATCCTCAGCGCTGGGAGAGGACATGGTGCAGCGGCCAGCCTGGAAGACCACACGGAAAAAACATTTATTAATATATTTTTAAGTTAGAATTTGAATTACAATTACAATTTCATTATTACAGAGTGAATTTTGAAAAGAATCACCCATGAATCATTGAGTGTACGCAGATACTTGGAGGTAGGGAAGGTGGGGCTAAGTGTCTTGCCCAGGGACACAACAACAGCATTGATATTTATACTGAGTCCCTTGAGAGCGGGATTTGAACCACCAACCTTCAGATCAGAGGATTCCAAAGTTTCTGCAGAGCGACAAATAAAAAAACGAAAACAAAACTGCAAAGTGGAGGATTATGAAAGAGCCGGGGTGACTCATACCTGCTCTAGACCCCTCCCCCTCTTCCTCCTCCTCTTCCTCCTCCTTCCCCTTCATCTCCTTGTCTTCCTCCTCCTCTCCTCTCCTCTCTACCCCTCCTCCTCCTCCTCCTTTTCTGCATGAGCCGGAATCTCCCGTTTCTCAGCGGCTCAGAGGAAACCAGAACATTACACTAATGATACAGAGAAAAGAGGAGAGGGATGGAGGGATGGAGGGACGGAGGGAAGGAGGGTTCGATTGTGCTGAGTGAGTAGAAGGAGGAAGAGAGAGAGAGTGACGGAAACACAGAAAGGAGAGAAAGAAGGAGACGGAGAAAAACGGATGAGAGAGGGAGGGAAACAGAGAGAAGAGGGGGAGAGAGAGATGGAGAGACAGGGGAGGGAGAGAGCGAAAGAGAGAATGAGAAAAGGAAACAGAAAGAAAATGAGGAGAAAGAGAGAAACAAGGGGAGGGACAAAAAAAAAAGACACAGAGAGGGAGAGAGGGAGTGAAACAGACCTGGGAGGAGAGGGAGAGAGAGAGAGAGAGATGGGGAGGGAGAAAGAGAGGGAGAGAAACGCAGAAAGGAGAGAAGGGAGCGAGACGAGAGAGAGAAAAGGGAAAGGAGGAGGGGGAGGGACAGAGAGAGAGAGAGAGTGAAGGAAACAGAAAATAGAAAAGAAGAGAAGGGGGAGAGTGAGACAGAGAGACAGAAATGGAGAGAGTAAGAGGAGAGAGAGAGAGAAAGAGACGGAGGAGGTGGAGGAGGAAATGAAGGTGGAGGAGACAGAGGAGGTAGAGGAGGTGAATGAGGTGAAGGAGGAGGTAGAGGAGATAGAGGAGGTAGAGGAGGTGAAGGAGGAGGTAGAGGAGGCGTAGGAGGAGGAAGAGGAGGTGTAGGATGAGGTAGAGGAGGCGTAGGAGGAGGAAAAGGAGGTGTAGGAGGAGGTAGAGGAGATGGAGGAGGTGAAGGAGGAGGTAAAGGAGATGGAGGAGGTGGAAGAGGGGTCAGAGGAGGCGTAGGAGATGGAGGAGGTGTAGGATGAGGTAGAGGAGGCGTAGGAGGAGGAAAAGGAGGTGTAGGAGGAGGTAGAGGAGATGGAGGAGGTGAAGGAGGAGGTAGAGGAGATAGAGGAGGTAGAGGAGGTGAAGGAGGAGGTAGAGGAGATGGAGGAGGTGAAGGAGGAGGTAGAGGTAGGGAGAGGGAGGCGTAGGAGGAGGAAGAGGAGGTGTAGGATGAGGTAGAGGAGGCGTAGGAGGAGGAAAAGGAGGTGTAGGGGGAGGTAGAGGAGATGGAGGAGGTGAAGGAGGAGGTAGAGGAGGCGTAGGAGATGGAGGAGGATGTAGGATTAGGTAGAGGAGGCGTAGGAGGAGGAAGAGGAATTGGAGGAGGAGGTAGAGGAGATGGAGGACATGGAAGAGGAGGTAGAGGAGGTGTAGGAGTAGGTAGAGGAGATGGAGGAGGTGAAGGAGGAGGTAGAGAAGGCATAGGAAGAGGTAGAGGAGGTGAAGGAGGAGGTAGAAGAGGCGTAGGAGGAGAAAGAGGAGGTGTAGGAGGAGGTAGAGAAGACGGAGGTGGTGAAGGAGGAGGTAGAGGAGAACGAGGAGGTGTAGGAGGAGGAAGAGGAGGTAGAGGAGACGGAGGAGGCGTAGGAGAAGGTAGAGAAGGCAGAGGAGGAGGCAGAGGAGATGGAGGACATGGAAGAGGAGGAGGTGGTGTTGGGGTAATAGACTCCAATAGTGCTGAGTATCAGAACAGAGTCGGGCCAATTAAAGCTCTTGACGCAGTGCAGCCTCCACTGACAGCTGCTCATGGACTCAGAGTGAAAACATGACGGATCTCCCACAAGGAATCACACACACACACACGCACACACACACACACACACACACACACACACACGCACAAGAGCACACGGGAATAGAAAAGACAGAAGATGATTTTCATGTTGGAAATCACATGACAGTTTGTGTGTGTGTGTGTGTGTGTGTGTGTAAGGTCTAGGTACACAGCAACAACTGGAGGGTTAATATTTCAGGGTAAAATATTTTAAAATAAAAAGTGTTATTTTAAGTGTTATCCCATCTGATCTCAGAAGTTGAGCAGGGTCGGGTCTGGTCAGTTCTTGGATGGGAGACACTGGGAAAATCAGGTGCCACAGGGGGGCACCAGACGCAAAAAGACTGTTGTTGTGTCCTTAGGCAAGACACTTCACCCACATTACCTAATATGAAAGTGGTGTGTGCGTGAGTGATAACTAACTAACTTTGGTTCAGTGTTACTTAATTAATATTTCCAAAAATGTTTAATTAACTCTAGAGCAGATTGGACTCATGTCAACCAGGAGAAAATGTAAAAATTGATTATGTGAGAGTCAATTCTAACACTCCACTTTTTGCTGTGTAGGTTCCATAGTGATATATATATATATATATATATATATATATATATATATATATATATATATATATATATATATATATATATTTATATATAGTGGTATACTAGTCTATGTGCTCTTATACTTAGTATACTTAGGCTACGTTCAGACTGCAGCCTGAAGTGACCCAAATCCGATTTTTTGGCCTCTATGTGACCTGTGTCTGATCTTTTAATGAACGACACAGATCTGATTTTTTCAAATGTGACCCAGGCCACTTCAACATGTGGTCCTGAAACCGATACATTTCTGATCTTTTGACATGCGACTTCAGTGTGAACGGTCAAAGCGCATTCATCCACCTACATGTTATCAACAAGCCACAAACGTCACTATTCTGCGCTCAAGTAGATGAAAATTGTTAATGAACTCCGTGTCACTGAAGCAAAGCACATCACCACTCACCACTCTTGGCTCCGTCTCCACATCCACATGTTCCTTTCAACGGACTGTCCCACAAAACACATGGTCAAAAACCTCGTCCTTCTCCTTCTCAATCTCCTCTTTAAAACAAGTAAGTTGTTCATGTTCTGGCTCCGGTACGAGAGGAACTTTAAAATCTCCAGGTGCTCAAAGCTCGCGTCCGTGTTTGAACAACTTCCGTAAACACAGAGCACGCTCACTGCGGTTGACGTCATCGTGTCTCCAGTGTGCATGTGGGACACTTTCGGGCCGTTTAACGTTCACACAGGGGATCACATACAAGTCACATTTAATTGGAAATGTGAAGGACCTCACAAAAACATCAGATTTCACAAAAAAATCTGAATTGAGCGTTAAGCCCTGCAGTCTGAACGTAGCTTTAGCTCTGATACAGCTCAGGATCATTCTAAAGACATTCAGGAAACTTCATTTCTGTCCCGTCAATGTGACCTTTTTAGTATCAACACCTGCAGACTGTTGTGTAAAGCAGCAAGTGAACAGAGGCTGAACCAAGGACAAATCCAGCCTGATGTGTGTGTGGACATAAAGTGTGTGGCGCTGACACAGAGGAATGATTTATCATGTCAAAATCACACCGGGTCACAGTCACAGTCAATAATGAATCTGAATTCATTCAAACTATCATTTACTTCCTTAACAGCTGTGTGTGTAATCCCTCAGTGGTCGTGGGTGTGTACTAGTCTATGTGCTCTTATACTTGTTCAGATACAGCTCAAGATCATTCTAAAGACATTCAGGAAAGGTTCATAATAATAAATCGGTTTTATACAGCGTTTTTAACACTAACGACAACACTAAAACAAGGACAGGACAGACAAAAACAGCGATGAGGAGCAGTCGTGTGTGGGGGCTGTAGGCTCTGAGGAAAAGTTGAGTTTGCAGCAGTTTTTTGAAGGTGTTTAGAGAGTTTCTGATGTGAAAAGGGAGAGAGTTGCAGAGGGCGGGGGCGGCAGTCGCGAAGCCTCGGTCCCCCAAGGTCTGCTTTGATTGGACTGTGGGAGTGAGGAGGTTCAAGTCGGCCAGTGGGAGGCGGTGGGAGGGATGGTGGGGCTGGGTGAGGTCTGTGAGGTATGGAGGGGCCTGGTTATGAAGGATTCTGTAGATGATCAGGAGGATCTTGAAGTTGATGAGCTGTTGGATGGGGGTGATGGAGTGGAGTTGTTGCAGAATGTGTGTGTGAGGAGGCAGGTGCCAGAGTTTTGAACATACTGAAGTTTTTGAAGGTCAGTGGAGGGAATAGAGGAGATTAATTTCTGTCCTGTCAGTGGGACTTTATTTAGTATCGATACCTGTGAAAAATGTGTATCTTGTTTCAATAGGCGAGTTTCAGCTGACGTCATTGTTATTAAAAGCCCGCGTTGCATGCTGGGAAATATTTTGGTCGGAGGCAAGAAACACGATAGCGGTCAAACACAGTGCGTAACCTCACGTATTTATCCCTGATAATGGTAAATTCCTGCTGCATTATCGGATGCACAAATAGAAGCACGGAAGAAGGAAAATGTCTTTTTCATATTCTGAGTGAAAAGAACCACTAACGGTGCATTAAACGGCTTTCAAACATTCGCAGATTAAACGTAGAAGATCCGAGCAAACTGAGAGACTGTGAGACTTGCACAAAGCTGCATTAAACACATTATAATCTCATACGGACTGATGTGGCTCTAGAGTCGTTACGGTTTATATGTCGTAAATCTGAATTTATTTATGCAGATTAGTAGTGCAGATAGTAATAATAATGATGATAATTTTAATATAAAAACATTAATGATTAATCGATAATCGATT